ATATATATCGGCTTTCATTATATATATATATCGGCTTTCATTATATATATATCGACTTTCATTATATATATATCGACTTTCATTCCATATATTCCGAGTTTCATTCCATATATATCGGGTTTCATTCCATATATATCAAAGATGATTAAATATTTCCTGTTTGGCATGCCATAATATATATATGTATATATATATATATATATAATATGTGTGTGTATGTGTGTGTATACACACACACACAATTTGTATCTGGTTGTCTTTATTCAAAATAACAAAATAAATCTCTAGACACAAAGTATAGTAAAGATATCTATGGAACCAATTACTCTAATTACTTAATCAAGAGATAGTTTGTTCATAATAAGACTTAATGCAAACTGTCAAAGTTAATTAAATGCCACTCAAACAAAGAAACCTAATATCTATCATTTGGAGTATTTTAATTTAACATCAGGAATTATTTTTCTGTAGATTTTTTCAAATGCTATTTTTCACTGTTAGTAAGTTGATGAACTGATGTTTTATATATCACACTATTGCCACTTCATAATATGCTTTGTGCTTTTCTACTAATCTGAGTTTTAAAAGCCACAATTTCCATTAAATGTGTAATCTCTTCATTTTACAGTAATGTCAGTTATCACTCAACATTATCTAATATGTCCTATGATATAACCTGCCGCGAGATTTCATTAGTTAATTGTGTGGTTGACTTAACCCTGAGACCTGGGATAAGCGGCTGGAAGATGGATGGATGGATGTTTCCCCTAGTCATGATTAATGGAGCCGCATTAATACTTCAAAGAAGATTCTTCTTCAATGATTCTCTCTTTTTTGATCACCCAGCTTACTTTATAGATTCCCTGTTCATGACTACAACATATTGAACATGAAAACAATACGAAGTCATTTCTCCATTTTATGTGACTGATAATTGAATATTTGAAATGTTATAATTTTATTTCATAATTTATTATTACAGCATTAAAAATTTCAAATAATTATTAATCACCTAATCACTCCATATCTGGATACAACACAAATTAGAATAAAAAGTGTAAATATTCTGAGCACCAGCAATGTTAATTGTACTTAGGAGTGGTATTAATTTAGAAGTAATAAGGAGGATGTCAGAAAGCTTCAGCGTTTCTGATTCATTTTAAAGGCTGCCCGTGGACTATAGCCATGCTAATGAGTTCTGAGTTTGGCGGTATTCATGACTGCACAGGTCTTTGGCAGGCTCACACCAGTTTTTAATCACTTCAGCTACATTCAATACCCACTCACCTAATCAGAGACATGGTTATCTGGCGCGTCCAGAGAATAAATTGGTATACGGTCTCCAGTACATGATCAAGCAGGCATTTTCAGGCAAGTTACAGCTAAGTCATAGTTCACCAGGTGCCCGGAGCAAATATAAACCAGCGTCTCAAAATTTTTTATCTAAGCACTCATCACTGCAGTTATTTGAGAAACACAATGCACAATGAGCCTTTATATGGCTGCGCCACAGAAACAAATAAAAAGCAACTAGATGCGTCAAACAAAGCTGGACAGAGAACAGACTTATTGATTGGGCTCTGAGCACAATTGTGTCGATGTTTTGGACTTTCTCTGAACTTTAGTTTGACTCTGAAGTCCTGTAGAATGAGAGCCTACTGTAAGTACACAGTTAACATCCACCCATGAGGTAGGCGTCGATGACATCAGCGGGGTCTTGCTCAACCCCTTTCTCTTACTCACTAAGCTGAGACAGGGCGGTGTCCGCCTATAAATACCCGCCCCAGGATGTTACAACTTTTGCGCAGTTCATCTCCTCGCTGCTGCAACGTTTTAACTTTTCTCTGGTAAGACAAGTATATTATGTATGCTATTATACTTCTCTGCTTTTTATTATATTGCTTTTCAATTTTATGTAGACACTCTATCGATACTTAACTCAAACTTCAGCGATGCCGTTCTTGTAGCAATAGGTGGATCTTGCTTTACCTATCCTGATTATTGTATTTTTGCCTGGCAATAAGTAACTTATATATCCTACGGTCCTCGTTTACGTGTGAAAGAAGGGGGGGGGGGACTTAAGGGTGTTTTTGTTGAATTAAAATGAACACACTCAGGTGATGTATCTGTTCATTTCAGATCGACCTGTGTGTCTCTACCTCTCAGTCTGAAGTCGTCTTACCATTTTTAACACGTAGCATTGCAGTACTGTAGCTACATTTCTTAAATTGTAGAACTGCTTCGTAGACAAATTTCTGGGTTTTGTCTTTAAATGACTTGCTTGTTTTGACGATAACATTAAAATGTAAATATGCGTGTTATTTTACTGGTGTATATCTTAGCCAAGACATAACCAAGGTGAAAATCGCGAACGTTATATTTGACTTGTGTCCTATTAAAAAGTTCTTTAAAAAATACCCTACATGCCGTCTTCTCACAGCGGCCGCTCCCAGTAATACAGGGTGTGACCCAGGCTGATGTGTGCCTGTTGGTACAGTATATCTCTGTTTGCATTCCTGTGTGTCTGTACTATACAAAATAGTATATCTTGTCATCGATATGCGCGTTAAGAGACCTGATAAGAAAAGTTAAGAAAATGCTTATTACACGGCATAAATTTTTTAACATTAAAAACCAAAAGAAAAAAGAAGTTAAGCAATCATCCATACATCAGTCTTCCAACAACGTAACCAGTCCAGGTTCCTTGGCTAATATATTATTAATAAAATAAAAATGTATTAATAATAACAATAATAAGCAATTTATATATTAATAAAAATGACAGTGCGTTGTTGGCATTGTTAAATTAATTTATCATTGTTGATTTATGTGCTTTATGCAGAACATTAGTGTCACAGTAACACCAAAATGGCAAAAACACATACAGTACCAGTAATAGGTTGTGGTACTCGAGTCCAGTCTCGTATTCATGTATATGAATGGACTGGGTCTTGTCATGCACTCTGGTGAATTTTTAAAAAAGTTTAGGACAAGGACTCGAACACTATGGATTCAAAAAAATATTCCAGAGTCCATCCAAGTCCATTGCCTGTGTCTGCAACCTGCCTGTCATAAATTTCCATCCATCCATCCATCCATCCATCATCCATCCATCCATTTTCTATACCTGCATGGTTGTTCTATGCAGTGTTGTGGGGGTCCTGAGCCTATCCCAGAAGGGTGGAGAGCCAACCCATCGCAAATCCAAAAGCGTGCTTGTGTAGTGGTTTATTCAGTTCCAATTCAATTTACTTTTGTATAGCACATTTTCACAATATTGCATTGTCCCTGCCCAAAGCCCCCAGTGAGCCAGCCAGAGGAAATAGTGGCAAGGAAAAAACTCCCTAACGGAAAGAAACCTGGGGAGGAACCATAAAGGGGGAAATTCCCCTCCTGGGAATTTCAGCAATAACTAAGCCACAATTTATAAAATAAAATTGTGATTAAAAGTGAACTACTGTAAGTGGTAACTTGGTGTAAGTATGGTGCATAGGTACTTGCTATATTGGAGTATTAACGGTGAGTTTGGTGATTATGGAACATAACATGATTATGGAATGGCGAGGGTCTCACTGTCCCCAGGTGTTTTAGTGATCACTAGTCCTCTCTCGCAGTTTGGTCACAGTCTGCAGCCATGCCATCTGAACTGGAAAGGGCCATGGAGTCACTCATCACAGTGTTCCACCGGTATGCCTCCAAGGAAGGGGATAGCAACACCCTGTCCAAGCGGGAGCTCAGGTCGCTTATGGAGAACGAGCTGGCAGGGTTCCTCAAGGTGAGTTCTCGCTTGGTCTTGGCCGGTTCCTGTCTTTGGCCACACACCACATGTTTTGAAATACTGCACTTTTCCTGTGACACTTCCCCTTGTGGTGACCCTGGGTCATTGCAATATGGAACCCAGGGGACAATGCAGTGCACTGAGGCCCAATTTCCACATCAGTACACTGTGCATCATGCCTGAAATGTCCTGCCAGCACTGAGTTGCTCTCAAACACTCTACTCCTCCAGTCCCAAAAAGACCCCGCTGCCGTGGACAAGATCATGAAGGACCTGGATGCCAATGGCGATGGGGAGGTGAACTTTGAAGAGTTTGTGTCACTGGTAGTGGGGCTGTCCATCGCCTGCGAGCAGTGCTACCAGCTTCACCTGAAGAAGCAGCAACAGCAGGGCAAGCGCTGATGGGAGGCTGGCTGGAGTGGGGGCACGCCTCTGTGTACAGAGCCTGTACTGTCCATTAAACACACTGGGACCCCCCAGCCTGGGAAGCTGTGTCTGTGGCTCATTCTTTGTGCAGCCATTCCTTAGTCCATCATCACTGCTGGTCACCTGTACAGGTGATGCTGCCCCTGGCAGTCACTGGGCATTTAGGTTCCGAGTGTCCAAAATGGCTTGATGTAGTAGACCCTTGTTACTCTGACACATGTTGTTCGTGAACATGGATGTGTGTGTATTTTACATGTGTGTGGGCATGTGCTTATCCATGCGCCTGTCCCTGCTTTTTGTGTGGCTGTATCTGACTGGCAGTAATACCAGTAGTAGTAATTTCATCCCATGGGAGGCTGCGAGCAGGTACCTCTGTCCTTCTCTGATCCTCTCAGATCCTCCTAGATCAGAGATGTCAAACTCCAGTCCTCGAGGGCCGGAGCCCTGCACATTTTTGGGTTTCCACTCATTTAACACACCTGACTCAACTCCTTGTGCTAATTATCACACAGCTCTTGACCTGAATCATTTGTTGTGGAACAGGGAAAGAACTAAGCTACTCAGGGCTCTGGACCTCCAGGAATGGAGTTTGACACCCCTGTCCTAGATGGTGTACTGGTCTTTTAACTGAAGCTCATTCAGTGTAAACACTTTTCCAGATTTACAGTTTGAATATGTGACTTAAAAGCATATGGAGCTCAGTAGGGAGAAGAATATTTTGGGTAGTTTTTTTTAGAGAGAATCACTGATGAGGGAAAAAGTGGAAGAATAGCATCATCCATGCAGCAAGTGGAGCATAAATTAGCAGCATGCGGCTCTATCTAACTTTATTGGGCTGCAGCACAAACAAGAAATTAAGCTAGAAGAAATGCTTGTAGGAGCACATGAAGCATAATCTCATAATCATGGGCTGTTATGCTGGTGTATAGATTGGTGATTTAGTACCTGTGATCAGAAGGTTTCTGGTCCCATGGCTGGCAGAGTGATGTCACCCTTAGGCTTTTTTGTGCAGAAGGCCCTCGATTCAAATTTCTGCATGGATACGGTCTCATTCTGCGCTCTGATCACCATAACTGCTTAATCCCAATTGGGGGTCACCTGGAGCCTATTCTAGGAACAAGGGGCACAGGCGGGAACCAACCCTGGGCAAATGCCAACACTCCGCAGGGCGTGCACACGCACGCACACACAGGACCAATTTAGACTAGCCAACCAACCTGCTCTGCACACTTTTGGACCGTGGGAGGAAACCGGAGCCCCCGGCGGAAACCCATGTGAACACAGGGAGAGCATGTGATCTCCACACAGAAGGGACCTACGCCCGACCCTGGGATCGAACCCAGGATGTTCTTGCTGTGAGGCAGCAGCACCACCGTGCTGCCCACCTGTAAATCCCTAAGAACAAAAGCTAAATTTGTAAATGTAAACCATTGGTATAATCAGTTTTTAAGGCTTTTCAAACTTTCCATTGGAGATATCCATAGCGACTAGGCTGGCAGACCTGTGGAATGACTCCCACGTTAACCATATTCTGCTATATGACCTTCACCCATATTTGTGTGTGTGCATTTAAAACTGAAACAATGCTCCAAGGACTGTGATGTCGCAGAAGAAGGCGCAGGGCAGGCAGGTGGCAAAACAGAACTGCTCATGGAAAGGTTGAAGGCAAATATCATAATAATCAAGATTTATTAATGGTCTCTGCTTATTTAAAAATCCAGCAGAAAAACTGGGGAAAGGGAACTGCTGTTTTGCTTGCTCTGAATCAATCCACCCACAATGGAAAATGACAAAACTCTATGTCACTGGTAACCTTACATCAAGCATTTCTAAGGTAGTTAGCAATTTCACCTAATTATCTACTAGTGATACACAGGCTTGTTGCCATGTCCAGTGGTAAGAGGACACACTCTAGCCCAGGTGTCACCAACATGGTGCCTGCTCCCAAGGACCACATGAGTTGCCCGCAGACCTGTTCTAAAAATAGCACAACTCACCAGTGAGCAGCATCTAAAATTTTACTTTATCCTGTTACTATTCTTCTTTAATCACAATTGCATTTATATAGATTTGAAAATGACAATATCTAAAAAAAAGCATTTAAAACATGTTTATTATACATGAAGTTTAGATAAGTTTAGGAGGGCGTTTCAAACTGGTAGCCCTTCGTATGGCTCAGTACCCGTGAAGTACAGTAGCTCTCAGTTTAAAAAAAGTTGGTGACCCTAGCTCTAGCCACTTTATAGCTGCACAACCTAGAAATGAGAGGAAAGTAAGAACTAGGGCTGAATGTGCAGAATAATACCACTGCACAGATTAGTACCACTGAGAGGGGTCAGATACAGGAAGGCCAGCAGTCAGTGCAAGACCGGTTATGGCTCTAGGAGTCATTTGCTAGGTCCATAACGGCTACTAAGCAGCAACACAGATTGGCATTATTTGGCTATTTGGGTGTGGCAGGGCTGTGGGCCTGATCTTTAGTTACTTGTTCACTTCCAGCCAGTGATGGGTACAATCCAGAGAAATTGCTCAAATTCCACTAGACTGAGTTAAGCTCTGACCGGTCGGCTGTAATTAAATTGATCCTTGTTTCCACCCACTATAGAAATCCATAGAATTTCATCTCTTTCCAGGGCAATGACTCCAAATAGTTTTGTTCAGTACACAGACCTTGGAGGAAAAGTTTAATTCATACACTGGTCATGTAATACTTAATTAATAATACTTTCCAAGAATAACCCATGTGCATAAATACTTCGCAGCAAAATTTCTGCCTGCTTATTTGTTTTGGCTGCCTTCCAACAGGCACTGTTGCATTTAATTCTGAGAGAAGGGGAGGAAGTGAAGCTGAATCATCCTGTAAAAGCAGAGAAAACGGCCCACATGCCTCTGCGTGGGTATCCAGGCAACCCCACCGTGTTGTTGGTTTCCAGAAAACACAGCAGTTGCTGGATTATTGCGGGCGGAGCAGGGCAGAATAAAGCCTTGCGTAAACACCATCTTTGGCTCTCACTGTCATCAAACAGAATTTCCATGTCTTTCTTGTAATATTTAACTTGCATTGAACATTACATCTGACAATCTATTTTATGCATTTTGTTATGTTAGAATGAGTCATCAGGCCAGAATTTCATTAATAAGCAGACTTACAAAAGTTGAATATCATTTAAGGAAGCTGCCTTTCTGTGTTGATTGAAAGATGCAGAATAATTAATACACAGTATGTAAGCTGGGGCATTCCTAGAAATTCTGGGTCACCTGACACCTTGTCACTTTGGGGTCCCCGCTCAATTTTATGTATAATTTTTCATATTCATGGGCTCCTGTGAAGGCCCCTTGAGTCTGCCTGACTATCTGTATATAAGCTGCTGTATGTAAGAGTAAAGAGTTATAGTAGTGTACTCTGAACAAAGGCTCAGGTCTGAACATGAAGCTAAAAATGATGTACATTAAATAGCAGTTGATAGGAAACATGACAGGAACCACAAAGGCAGGTTAGGAACCTTTAGGAGTAATCTGGGCACATACAGGCCGGGTGGGACCTGTTCAAGCAAAACAAAATTCATGATTTAGAGGCTTCAATTTCATCAGACTCTTACTACATTATAAGAATAACAAAACATGGATGAGTGACAATGATGGATGGTAACACGTTGTTCCGTAGAGTCCAAATAGGCAAGAAGGGAGGTGTAGCAGTAAAAAACCTTGCAGGCAAGGGAGCTCACTGATTAAAATAAAGTACAGAAGCTGTATGGGTAAAACTAGATGCTAAAAATTCAAAAGGCCTAATTGTCGGTGTTTGTTATAGAGCACCTAATGTAGCTGCAGAGGAACGCAGAATGTTATAGGATGATATCAGGATTATGAGTAATAAAAATTATGTGGTGGTTATGGGTGATTTTAATTTACCTGGGATAAAGTGGGACACAGACTCTGGCTCTTCTGTAAATGTACTTGGAATTAGTACAGGATTGTTTTTTTACTCAGTTTGTTAATACCCCTACCAGAGGAGAAGCCCTTCTTGATCTTGTTTTCTCTAATAACCAGGATATGATTGGAAAATTAGAGGTTTTAGAACCATTGGACAGTAGTGATCATAACATGGTTATATTTAAGGTTAATTTTAATGTCCAAAGAGCAAAGTCCAAAACAAAAATATACAATGTTAGGAAGGCTAACTTTTAATGGTATGAGACTGAAATTAGAAACTGTAAATTGGATGGAGTTAAATAGCAAAACTGTTGAAGAGGCATGGGAATTTTTTAAAAGCACATTCTTGCAAGTCCAAGAGGACTTCATACCTCTTTCCAGCAAAACTAAATCTAGGAAACTGCAACCAAGGTGGTTTACTACGGAAATAAAGAATAAAGTCAGGAGGAAAAGGGCTTTGTTCTACAAATGTAAAACAACTAATGACTTCAAAATAAAACAGGAGTTTC